CGGAAGGACGGTTTTGGTACCGAAAATGAAAGTTTAAGGATAATTTTGGTACTTTTTAAAGGTGAGGGACAATTTTGGTACCAAAGTGACAAGTTGAGGGACCAAAATGGTACTTAAACCTTTTTAATTTTTTAACTTTTTGTAAGGACATGTGATTAGATTGTAGTACTTATATCTTCTTAATGAAAGTTCATTTTTGAAATAATGTGTTTAGTTGCATTCACCTTTTTGTTATTAAAAATTGATAAGAGAACTGAGACTACCTTTAAAACGGAAAGTTTATAAAAGAAGTTAACTACTTCGGAAATAAACTCCAGAGAAGTAAACCACTTCAAGTGAATTAATAACAAGTGTATCACTGTAAATGGATTGAGGGGAGATAAAGCACTTCAAATGTGAAGTGACATTTATTAACAGAAGTGAGGTTCAAGGAACGAATGGATTAATTGACCTCGAATACATAGAATAAGAGGTAAAATGAATCTCTTCAAACACGAAGTGAGAAACGTAAAGAACAGTAAGACATAGACTACTTGAAAGAATTTTATTAGGGGTAAAATTTCTTCAAGTTATTCACATTCCAGACTCTGGGAACTCTCTTTCCTTCAGCGTCTTGGAGGATATAGGCACCAGGATGTGGCACCTCGGCCACGGTGTAAGGGCCTTCCCAATTTGAGGCAAGTTTGCCAAAACGAGTTTCAAACCCCGTTAGGCCAGCTTTTCTGAGAACAAGGTCTCCTACTTTGAATGTTCGAGGGTGGACCCGTTTATTGTAGAAGTTGACTAGTTTTTGCTTGTATACAAGAGTTCGAAGCCGAGCTTCTTCTCTCACTTCAGCAAGCAGATCAAGGTTTTCCCGAAGCAGTTGTCCATTTCGTTCTCCATCGAAATGGGTGACCCGGAAGCTTGAGACTCCTATCTCAACAGGAATGACTGCTTCGGTACCAAAGGCCAGGTGGTAAGGTGTTTCACCTATTTCAATTGATTAAAACTTTAGAATGCGCTTTGCGCTTTATGCGTTATGCATATTTGTTCTAAGGTAAGGCGTGACAGAAGAAGTGAAATACTATAGAAATTAATCAAATAAACTCGGTTTAAAGTAGTACCTGTGGCAGTTCGGCTCGTGGTTCTGTATGCCCAGAGGACGTTGTTGAGCTCGTCTGCCCACTTGGCCTTATGTTGCTCCAATCTTGGCCTTATACCTTCCAAAATGCATTTGTTAACAGATTCCACCATGCCATTGGACTCCGAATGGTAAACGGAGGTGAACTGTAACTTGATCCCATAACTGGAGCAGAAATCTCGAAATGAGGAGCAATTGAATTGAGTTCCATTATCGGCCACGATCTGATTTGGGATCCCATATCTGCAGATGATTGAACCGAAAACAAAATCTTCAACCTTCTTAGAGGTAAGACTAGATAAAGGCCGAGCTTCAACCCACTTCGTGAAATAATCCACACCAACAATCAGATGAGTTACACCACCAACCCCTTTCACAAATGGGCCTAAAAGATCCAGTCCCCACTGGGCGAATGGCCACGGCGCTACCAAGTTCGTGAGCTCTTCTACTGGTTGGTGAGTCAGGTGTGCGAAGAATTGACATTTCGGGCATTTCTGAACAAAGTAGGTGGCATCTCTGTACATGTTTGGCCAGTAGTATCCTTGCCTTAAGACTTTGTGAGTCAGAGTTCTAGCACCAACATGGCTCCCACAGACACCCTCATGCACCTCTCGAAGTGTGTATTCAGCTTCATAGGGATTTAAACACCGTAAAAGAGGAAGTGAAAAAGATCTCTTATACAGGACTCCATCAACAAGTGTATACCGAGATGCTTTCTTCCTCAATTTCATTGCCTCCTGCCTGTCCTCAGGCACTATCCCATCTCGTAAGAAGGAGACAATTGAATCAGTCCAGCTTGGCGTGTCAGGGTTTGTGCTAATTTCCATCACCCGAGGCTTCGTGAAGCTTGTTTCATCTAAGACTTCTACAAAAACGGATCTGGAGCTTAACGAGCTATCAGAGGCAAACTTAGAGAGTGAATCTGCCTATTCGTTCTCAGCTCGGGAGATTTTACTCAGACAGAATTTCTGGAATTTGCACTTCAGCTCGGCCACCAAGGCTACATACTTTACCATCACAGGATCAACGACTTCGCAAATGGAGTTGATTTGGTTCACCACCAGCTGGGAGTCACTGTACACTTGAATTGCACCGATTTTCAACTCTAATGCTAGTTGTAGACCAGGTAGCAGAGCTTCATACTCAGCCATATTATTTGTCGCATCAAAGTTAAATTTCAAAGCATGTTCGCTTCGATAACCGTCTGGACCAATCAAGAGAGCTCCAGCCCCTGAACCCTTGCTACTAGATGCTCC